GGAAAGAGAGGGGAAATCGGACAGAAAGGGAGGAAGGAAAGAAAGAAGACCTGCTCAACCAATAGCTACACCCTCCTTGTATTTCAGCCCTTCCAAACCGACAAGGAGCAAGCAAGTTGGTGTCAGTCCAGTGACCCTAAACACCCCGTCTCTAAAATGGAATCTTCATAACACTTCAAAGAAGGAAACTGGTCCTGGAGGAGTTTAAATAAGTAGAAGACAGTACTCTAAAATCCAGGATCACTGAGAAATGTTTCTAAAACTAAAAAACAAATAGATGGGCAAACTCTAAGGGCATCATTGGAGAAGAAGAGAGGTCTGTCGACTCCAAAACCTCCAGTACCATTAATCTCTCACTTAGCAGAAATGAGGAAGAGGGAAACAGCAGATGCACCTCTAAGACCAGCAGCCAGTCAAATGGAACCCGTTACCAAGACACTGAGTAAGGCATTTTGAAATGACCCTTCCTCCTGTCTGGGGCCATCAACCACCACCTGCTTCTCTAGTATGTCAGGCTTGCAAGGGTCTCTGGAATTGTGAACGAAGCCAACAAAAAAGGGAACTACGAGACCCTAATTGCCTGGGCTTTACCCATGCCAGACAAGGCACCAGGAGCAGGAACCTGGACTAGGAAGACGGGTACAAGCCTCAGTCAGCTTCCTGTACCAAACCCACAGGCCTGAGTGGGAACGCAAACTCTATGGAAACCGCTCCCCAAGGGGCAATGAAGTTTCCACACTTGGGGACACTTCAACTATCTTGGCGTAAGCACAGAGCACTAGGCTGTGGGAAGCTGCTGCACAGACCCAGGGAGTGGCCGGCTGACCCAGTCTCTACAAATGAATGTTTCTGGGAGGACAACACAGTGGCTCAAGTGGGGACAGAGGCTTCTCTACTGTGGACTCCAGAGGTTCATCCAGGAGCCACTGGGGGGCAGGCAGGAAGAACAGCACAGTACTTTTCCACAAATTCCCTGGCTAGTGGGATGCTGCTTTCCAGGCCACATCAACCTTCCCTTCTCATAGGCTTAGGATCAGCTTTCCATATTTTTTCTTTAAAAGAAAAAAAGCTTGATATCTCTTTTTCATAATTTCCCATGAGAATAAGAGTGCGTGAAGAAAAAGGTTTATTAGCAAAGACAAGCATATGTTTTCAGGGGAGAAGAGTCCCCATTTGATTGGGAGACTGGCTCCTGGAAATACAGAACAGAGCCCTGAAACCACAGTACTAAGTCACAAGAACCAATCTGAAAATCTTTCCAATACCTGGAAACTAGCCCCAGACTCACATGCACCTTCCAGAAAATCCAACAAAATGCCACTCCCTTTGAAAGGAGTGTGGCTGCCGACCCCTGCTGGCCAGTTCGGGCTCCACGCCCATGACCAAATCCTTGCACAGACCAACAGCTACCTGGCTTACCCAGCCACTTCCTCCAAACCTGCTCCCCACTGCGTAAGTTGGGTAAGCCTGAGACTGCTCGCCCTATGGCAAGGACTGACTCTCAATACCTGTGGCCTGAAAACTAAGAGAAGTGTGTGTGAATGAACCAGTAACTGTATGTTACAAACCAAACAAAAATCCAGGCATCAAAAGAATGGAAGGACTGGCAGGTGGCATGCTGGTTAAGGTGCTGGATACTCCCACATGACTGACCATGGTTCAAGTCCCAGACCTGGTGGCTTGCTTTCTCACTTTCCCTCTCTCTCTCTCTGTGTGTCTCTCTCTGGTCAAATTAAAATAAATGAATAAATAAAATTAAATATTTTTTAAGTAGAAGGAAACATACCCAAAATGCTTTCCTCTTTTATTTTAATGAGCATGTAATTTAATAATGAAAAATTACTTAAATTATTTATTGGAGGGGGTAGAATTGTGCTATAGGGTGCGTATGCTTGTTGGAAAGACAGAGACAGAGAGACAGAAAGCAAGAAATCACCCCATGGGGAGATGGCCACACCTCAATCCCTTCTCCTCCATTGTCTTCTCAGGATTTTGGACATGCACGCACACATGCCCAGTGTGAATTCCAAGTCACCGAGTCCGGGACTCAAACCACAGTAGACTACATGGAAATCCAGCACCTTAATCACCACACCACCCACTGGTCACCAAAATTAAACTCTTAAAAAGAATACTTGTGTAGAAATTTTAACCTTTGTCCCTGCTCACCAGAAACCAAGGCTATTGTGAATTCTGCCAGTGACCAGCAGCCTGCAAGCAGAGATCAGGCAAGAGGGTTAAGAATGGAAATCTGGGCCGCGCTGCAGTGGTGTAGGCAGGAGAGCACAACTATGCAATATTGAAGCAAGGTGGAAGGCACTGAGATCGGATTCTGGTCAACGTGAACAAGCTGGACATATGTGGTGACGCTGGCTGGAAGGCTGGAGGTTAGGGCTGGACGTGGTAAGATTATGTCAAGGGTGGCCCCTACGCTCACTCTCAGTGATAAGGAAAAAAAGAAAAACAGGGAAAGAAAGCTAGTTTACAATTAAATTAACATGAAGCTCATTCAAAAAATAAATAAATAAATAAACTGGAGGAGCCTAGAAAAAGGAAAGTGTTGATAGAAACAGCCAAAAAATTTACACTAGTGAGGCTCTGTGGAATCCAGCTATGCTGAACACTGAACAGGAGCCTGAAGAGCTCTTGGGAAACCAGAACCTTTAAGTTCCTGGTGGAAGAACTGACACAACAGGGGCACTCAGCCCAGGGGAGTGCATTTAATAGCCTGCTAACAGACTGACTGCAGAAACTCAGGAAAATGTCACTGTTCCTGACTTGATGCTGTACAAGCAAGACTTCCACGAAGAGAAGTCCAGATGCCTAGAGCTCAAGGCTTGTAGGAATTTAGCCAGAGCCCAGGACTAGATGGGGTCTTGAGTCCTGCCTGGCTTCTCCCAGTCCCCATGAGTGGTCGTAGCCATGAGAAGACCCTCCACAACACAGCCAAAGACCTGCTTTCAGCACATACTCTGTGTTCATCCCCATCACCTCACAGCTCCTGGCCTGTCACCAGCCACTGATGTGTCCTGCCCATTAGTTCGCACCATCTCCCAAAGGCTCAGAGCTTCCTGACTGGACAGAACCTGAGTGATGACCTAACTGGTGGCCAGCATTCATCTACCTGGGTAACGGACTGAGGGACATCAGGACATCCCAGCACAGGTGTTCTCAAGGAGTCCACTGCCAAGGATGGAACCTGTTCTTAGTTAATCTCTTATACAAGTCCGGTGGTTTCCAATCTATTTTCAAAAAAAAAAAAAAGATAAAGGACCTAAGCATGCTGTTATTTAATGGCAGGTCTTCAAAACTAAATTTTGATATGTGTTAAAAATCATAAACAGGGACCAGCAGTTAGCATAATGGCTATGTCGCTGGACTCCCATGTAGTCGACCGTGGTTCGTGTCCCGGACCCGGTGGCTTAAAACTCACGCTGGGCGCGTGTGCATGCGTGCCCAAGATTCCAAGAGGAGAATGGAGAAGGGATTGCGGTGTGGCCATCCCCCCTAGGGGGATGATTTCTCATTTTCTGTCTGTCTGTCTCTCTCTGTCTGGCGAGCGCATGCGCCCTATAGCAAAAACCTCTCCAAAAAAAAAAAAATTATAAACAGTCTGCAGGTGGCATGGTGGTTAAGAGCACTGGACTCTCACATGGCTGACCACAGTTCAAGTCCCAGAACCGGTAGCTTGCTTTCTCACTTTCTCTCTGTCTCTCTCTCTGTTTAAATTACAATAATTAATTAATTAATTTTTAAAAAAGGAAAGAAAAAAATCATAAATAGTCTTAAAAGTGTTCAAGGACTTAAGCAACATGGTTACAAAAAACCTTCCATTCCTATTTATTTATGTGAATAGGATTACTTAGCACTTATATCTAAAAATGAAAAGCAAACAAAACCAACACTAAACCCTGTCTCCTTCAAGCTGTAAGTAATATTCATCCACAGATGCATGAATTACAAAGGCATATAGAAGAAAAGTTTTAATACTCAGAACTTGGTGAGTAACAAAATTTTTAAATTTTTAAATATGTATTTTTGTGACAGATGAGCACTATGGGATAAACAAAATACTTTAAAGAATAAAAATACATAACATTAGGAAAAGAAATTGTTCAGGTATTTTTTTTAAGTGAATGATGGCAGGTTTTATAATCACATCGTTATGTATAATCCAAACCACACAGTCTAAAAAGTAATGTGAATAGTTGATTTTCAAACCCTCAATATTTGTACTATGCTAAATATAAACATTTTTAGATGTGAATTTTTAAATATAGGTCCCAGACCACATCCCATACATGCGTCATTGTGAGGAGCAATCTTCTCTTGTGCGTATAAAGCACCACCCCTCCTTTATGAAAGCATAGGACCCTCACCTCTTGGATGCGTCCATGGAGCCACCTAGTCCATCAAGGTCGTCCATAAAACATGGCACCCAAATCAGCAGACTAGATTCAGTGGCTCAAGAAAGGCAGTAATGGTAATCCATCCTACGATTTACTAAAAGTCTCCTTTTGTCCCACAATTGTTTTTAAAAGGCACTGAGTATACCCAGGTGTAACCTGCTCCAACCTCAGCTCCATTCAGAGGAGCCGCTGAGTCGCTTAACTCTCCCTCCAGGATCAGGAATCAGAGCAGACCTGGGAAGGATGACGCCAGGGTGACGGAAAAAAGCCTTACCTTGGGGCCAGCTTCCTCCTCCTCTGACTTGGCTTCCAGAGCCTGCACTATCTCTTCTGCTGAAGTCTTCTTCCGTTTTTTGTTCTTTTTTCCTTTCACTTCAGAAACTTTTCTCTTCTGTTTTGCCATTCTGCAACAAAGGAAACTGCTATTGTAAATACAAACGAAACGAGAGATCTTAGGCCATATAACATTTGTAAACAAAGGGGGGGGGGCAATGATACTCTCCTGTTATAAATGCAAAAGTGTTTTAGAAAATAAGCCAAATATATAAAAGTTAAAAGAAAGTCAAACATTCTAGTTTGTTGTCCGTAGGTATCCAAACACCTGTGGACTTACAGACAACCAACTTAACTTTGGTGTATTTCCCTTTTTTTCTGCATATTTTTACTTAACATAGCTGCAACCATTCATAGATTATATATTCTATACTTCTAACTTAACGTGAACATAAAGCTTTAAGATCAAGAGAAATACCATGTTTAGTGACATTATTCCAATTTTCCAAAGGTGAAAATCAGTCTATTCCTAATTAGTGAATATTCTGAGTTATTTTTGTTTACTATTGATAGTACAGACTAACTCATACTCCCCCATCAATTAGGGAAGCTGTAGCACTTCCTGGGATATATGACAGTCACACACTTTCTCTCCCCACCCCAACACCAGGGCATCTGGCCACAGGCAGAGGAGCTCAAGGACCATAAGGAGTCCAGAATGTCTCTCCTACCATGCTGAGGTGCCCGCCAGAATATTTATGAGGACTGATGAGAAATCCAAGATGTATCTAATGAGGCCTATTTTCTCAAGCACAGCAATATCAAAACTCCACACATGCGAACAGAAAGAAGTCCATGAATTGTAACTTCCTTTGTGGAATTGTGCAACGAAGGAACCGTGAGCAGTACCTGAGTCTACCAGAAGAACCTGGACACACCTTGGAGGGTTGTGGTGGGAGCCCTGGATCCAGGGTACAAGGACAAGAGCTGATTCAAGGAGGGGGAAGCAGGAACTGAACCAACTCCTGCTGTTGCAGTGAAACATACCTGCAGTCAAAGCAGAAAAAGCAGCCCAGCCCCTCTCTCAACCATCCTTACTCCCCACTCTACTCCTTTCATCCTCCACTAGCTTTCAGCTTCCTCCTTCTCTCCCCATCGACAGAACCTAAGAAAGATGAAAACAGAGTCCTGGAAGCTACAATGTAAGCCTCATGAAACAAAATACAAAAGGTGCTTTTGGAGCTAAGGGACAATAATAACCAGCACACAAGCAAACATATACCACTTTTCGTTACATATTATCTTTAGTAGAGACACTCATACATTCATCAATAAAGGAATAAATCGGGACCAGCAGGTAGTGTGGTGCTTAAGGCGCTGGACATTCCCACATGGCCAACTACGGTTCAAATCCTGGACCTGGTGGCTTGCTTTCTCAATTTCCATCTGTGTGTGTGTGTGTGTGTGTGTGTGTGTGTGTGTGTGTATGGTAAAATTAAAAAATAATGACTGAATAAATAAAAAATAAATAAATAATTCTAAAATAAATAAATAAAGGAATAGATAAATTGGGGCTAGCAGGTGGCATGCTGATTAAAGTGCAGGACTTCCATATGACCAACCACAGTTTGAGTCCTGTGGCTTGAAAATCACACTGGGCACATGACCAAAATCGAGAAAGGAGAATGAAAGAGAAGGGACTGCAGTGTGGCCATCTCCCTTGGAGGGTAATTTCTCTTTTCCCCTTTCTTGGTCTTTCTCTGGTGAATGCACATGCACTATGGCAAAACTTAAAAAAAAAAAAAAAAAAATCAGTGAAATTCTTTTTTAAAAAAATGCATACCCAAAATCCTGAGACGAGACTGGAGGAGGAGGGATTGCACCATGGTCATCCCCCCTGGGAGGGGGGTGATTTCTCACTCTGTCTCTTTCTCTGGTGAGCATGCGCACCCTGTAACAAAAACTAAAATAAATAAATACACACACACATATAGAATATACACATATACACGATATTTATAAGGCCTAATATTTTATTATTTCTTACAAGAGGGAGCAAATAAGGGTGAAAGAAACAGCATTTCCAATAGGTCTTGATGCCACAATTCTCTCCCAACCTTCAGCCAGTCCTAAATCATGGGTACATTCCTTTCACTCAGTGAGGTCTCTGCACCTGAATCAGGAATATTCCCATGTGGGACTGCCTCGTAGAGTGTCATGTTTTACAACTGTGCCACCATCTGGTACCTCAGCTTCTATTTTTTATTTTAGCTTACTGCTAGAGGGCATATGCTCTCACCAGAGAGAGAGAGAGAGGCACCTGCCCAATGGAGTGTGATCACTCTACAATCCTTCTTCTCCATTCTTCCTTCCCATCAGGAGCTTGGGCACCCATGCATATACATCTGGCATGTTTTTTAAGCTACCAAGTCCTGGATTCAAACCATGGTGAGCCATGTGGAATCTAGCTTCCCTAATGACTACACTAAGAGCCAGCCCTAGGCTTTTATGAGGGGTTATGGGAAGATAGAGATGTTTAGAAAACTGTTTTCTTGTTTTTAAATTGCCAGAGGGTGCACATGCTTGCCAGAGAGAGACCAAGAAAGGCGGAGGTGATGCAACAATTGTTTCTCCTTCCTTTCTCCCTCCTTTTGGATTTTGGGCAGGTATACATACACATGTGCCCAGTATGTTTTTCAAGCCAGCAGGTCCAGAACTGAAACCATGCAGTTGGCCATGTGGGATCTAGCTACCTTAACTACCACACCACCACTTGGCCCAACAGTGGTTAATTTTAGAAAGGATGATCAGAATGGAAGGGCTCAGGAGTCATACACACATCGGAGCCCAAATCTTGTTCTAAATATCTACTCTGTGAGAAAAGACCACAGGAGTATAGCACAAGCCTAGGACCCCAGGCAAGGCCAGAAACCAAAGAAACAGTCAAATAGCAAAAGGCCTTTCAGGATGACAGAGCTGGCACCAAGGACTCCCATGTCCTGTATAAGTTGTCACTGATTATAGTAACTGAAAGAATATTACTACTATGGGATCAAAAAATTCAAGCTCCTCATTCTTTAATTAAGCCTTATCTTTAAAAAGTATCTGAAGCCAGGGAACTACAAATTTCAATTAACAGTATAATAAGAAAATCTTGAAAGATCAAGAGACTGTTGACACAGGGACTCTGAAAAGACAAAGAACTGTGCCATTCAATTACCTTGTTAGAGAAATCAGAAAAGTTTAGCAAATATTTACATACCAGGTACTATAAAAGTTAAGTTAAATCTATATTCATTTTGTAAGTTATCATTAAAAACTTTAATCACTAAGTCTATTTGTTGAAAGGGGAAAAAGACTTTTCTATATTATAGAAAGGTTTCTTTAATAGTTTTAAAAGATGGTGACTCATAACTTTGAGACAATGAATGTTTGTCATAGAGGACGACATTTACTTTCATTTATGGTCAATTGATTTACAACAAGGGTGCCAAGACAATTTACTCTTTTAAAAGAATAATCTTTTCAACAAATAGTGCTGGGACAACTGGGTACCTATATATGAAAGAATGAATTTGGACTCCTTTAGCACACCATATACAAAGTAATTCAAAATGGATTTTAAAAAACTAAATATAAGAACTAGAATTATAAATTTTATTTTTTTATAATTTTTTTGAGAGATTTTTGCTATAGGTCATGTATGCTCACCAGAAAGACAGAGAGAGACAGAGAGACAGAAAGTGAGAAATCACCCCCCAGGGAGGATGGCCACACCGCAATCCCTTCTCCTCCATTCTCCTCTAGGGACCTTGGGCACACACGCACACATGCCCAGCGTGACTTTAAGCCACCGGGTCTGGGACTCGAACCACAGTCGACTTCATGGGAGTCCAGCGACATAGCCATTACGCTAACTGCTGATCCCTAGAATGATAAAATTCTTAAAAAAAACATAAGAGTGGTTCTCATGACCTTGGATTGGGCACTAGTCTCTTAGATATGACACCAAAAAACATAAGCAGCAGCAGAAGAAATTGGAATACATCAAAATTTAAACATTCGTGCTATAAACAACACCAGTAAGAAAATAAAAGATAATCTACAATGTTAAAGAAAATATTTTCAAATCATATATCTGACAAGACTTGTACCCAGAATATACAAAGTCCTACAACTCAACAAAAGACAACCCAATTTTAAAATGAGCACAAGATTTGAACATTTTTCCAAATGCCCAGTAAGTACATGAAAAGATGTTTAATATCATTAGTCATTTATGAAATGCAAATCAAAAGATATGCTACTTTACATTCAGATTTAAAAGACGGATATTAGTAAAAAGTGGTAAATGGAGAAATCAGAACTCTTATTCACTGTTGGTGGAATGTAAATGGTACAAGCAATTTGAAAAAATTCTGGAGGTTCTTCAAAAAGTTAAATGTACAGTTACAACATAACCCAGAAATTCCACTTCTACACATATGAAAAGTCTTCAGAAAGTGAATAAAATATGTATGTTATAGAAAAAATTATGCATGGGACCAGCAGTTAGCATAATGGCTATGTCGTTGAACTCCCATGTGGCCAACCGGGGTTCAAGTCCTGGACCCAATAGCTTAAACTCACACCGAGCGCGTGAGCATGGTGGAGAGGAGAATGGAGGAGAAGGGATTGCGGTGTGGCCATCCCCCCGGGGGGTGATTTCTCACTTTCTGTCTCTCTGTCTTTCTCTTTCTGGCAAGCGCACGCGCCCTATAGCAAAAATGTCTTTAAAAAAAATGCATGCTTTCAAAGTTTTCTTGCACCAAAATAATACTTTCATTTCATCTTTCAATGAACTTTTTTAAATTAGTTTTTGCCTTAAGGCATGTGTCCTCACCAGAGAGAGACAGAGACAGAGAGAGGGAAAATGAGAAATCACCCCCCAAGGGACAGCCATGCTGCAATCCCTTCTCCTTCATTCTCCTCCTGGGATCTTGGGCATACACACACATGTGCCTCGTTTGAGTTTCAAGCCACTGGGTCTGGGACTCAAACTGTGGTTGGCCATATGGGAGTCCAGCGATGTAACTACTCTACCATCTGCCAGCCCCCTCCACGAACTTTTTAAAGTACCCTTATATATTCA